TCCCAGTCTATACTTGAGATCCTGGTTTAATTATCAATATCACCTCTTTAAATTTCAAGTATCCTAGTTTGCATGGTAAATTGAATTAAAAAAATTCTAATTAGAGATCAGACTCAAGCCAAATATCAACTATGGTTAGGACTTAGGAGTCAAGCCAGTGTCAAAACAGCAGTAGTGAGGACATGCAATAGTCCCTTCTAGAAGTTGCCTCTCTCCTTCTAGTGACCTTTGTAGGTTGTTTAGTTTCCGGGTCTATTAGGGAAGTTCAAGAAAGGAATCCTTATTGGATGGATAGGCTCACAATCTCTAGATAGATTTTGGGTAGTGGTATAAATCTTCCCTTGTGTGAGGAAGAACACTACGATGAGGTGTATAACAAAACAGGCTTTGGAAACAGTCTTTGACCTGGTTCCATGACTGAATAGGACTTTTGGGATATTTTTCTTGGGAAGTGATGAGTATGTGTTGTATACATACAGAAGAGAGGGAATGAATATTTGTGACCAACTGTGAGGAGCACAGTATCTTAAATTATCATTCCTATTTATTTATTGTCATCTTCTTTATAAGAGGTTTATCCATTTCCACTCATTGCCATGTATTTGCAATGCTGTCCCACAGAAAGAATATTTTTTCTAGCACCATTGAATAAGTATGAGATTTACTTTGGCCAATGAAATGTGAGAATAACTGATATATACCTCGTTTGAGCAGAAGGTTTTAAGAGTCATTGATTAATGTTTCTACTAGATCTTTTCTTTTTGTTGTTTTTCTCCTTCGTTACTAGAACAATATCTCCCAAATAGAAGCTGATCTCTCATCTTGGATTCTGAAATGAAGGTACATGAAATAAAGCCTCACACAGCACCCTTAACCTGCAGTCAAATATAACTTGAATGCTATGTAGGTCTCTATAATTTGGGGGTTGCTTGTCACTTCTGTATAACCAAAAAAAAAAAAAACTTCCAAACCAGAGGAGATTCCTCTATTAGACAAGAGGTTGGATCAAGTGATCTTTACAATTTTACCTCTATAAACCTGTTATCCCAATATATTTATAAGAAAATAACCAATTTGGAGGAATTTTAGGAAGAATAAATTTCCATTTTTAGCAAAACTTTTTTTTTGAGACAGTCTCACTCTGTTGCTCGGGCTAGAGTGCCATGGCATCAGCCTAGCTCACAGCAACCTCAAACTCCTGGGCTCAAGCAATTTTTCTGCCTCAGCCTCCTGAGTAGCTGGGACTACAGGCATGCACCACCATGCCCGGCCAATTTTTTCTAAGAATTTTTAGTTGTCCAGCTAATTTCATTGCATTTTTTTCTTTCTTTCTTTTTTTTTTTTTTAGTAGAGACGGGATCTTACTCTTGCTCAAGCTGGTCTCGAACTCCTGAGCTCAAACGATCCTCCCGCCTCGGGCTCCCAGAGTGCTAGGATTTTAGGCGTGATCCACTGTGCCCAGCCATTTTTAGCAAAACTTCTATTAGTAATTTATATTTAGGAATAAAAATATCCTTAAAATAAAATGAAAAATTATCCTCAGCTAATTTTGGCAGTAGTATGTGTATAAATCATAAGATAATAAACTCATGAAATATATGAGTGGAATATCTTAAATTTCAAAGAATTATTTTTATGGCCTGTCAGAATCTTATGAAAACCTCAAAAGAATTATTATAAATTGTGCTTCATCTTTTATAGAAATGAATGAACTTTCTTTTCCCTTGTTCTTAATGGATACAATTTCTGAGAAGTAGAAGGTCTTAGAATGCATGGGAATAATATTGTTGGCTGTTAGTTATATTATTGTAGGTAATATATCACTATAATGATGTCCCTTATAAAGAACAAATAGTGGGGGGAGGGGGGAAAAGGGCATTTATTGAAATCTTAAAATCTGTACCCCCATAATATGCCGAAATAAAAAAAAATACCAAAAAAAAAAGAACAAATAAAGAAATATTGATTGGAGTTGTATACATAACATATTGGTTTATTTTTGACAATGATTTTTAAAGTGTTTCCATGGACTTCCTAAAAAGCCTTTTATTTTTTTTTAGGTGTTATTGGCCAATTTTTCCCGAATTTTAATGAAATCCACAGACCATACTTTGAGTAGCAAGGTTACAGACAAAAGATTTTAAAAACATATTAATTCACTTAAAGTTCCACATCAGCCAGAAAGATGATTCATCTAATTTCAGCTTACAGTGAAAATCAAGGAAGTATACAAGTAAGGTAGAGAATAGAATCAACAAACAAAAACTGTAAATTTCCCCTTCTTTTATTGGAAAAAATAATATATCCACATAATTTAACATGTCAATTCAAAGACAAATCCTAGAACAATACTTAAATATTTTATAATTTTAAATAAATCATAAAAGAATCTGTTCTTCATAGAAACTTGGAATTGATAATTATTTAATAAAATCCACATGAATAAATGGCTATATTTTATTGTCTTAATTACACTTGGGAAATGAAATATGGAGGATGAAATAAATTTTATTCACAAATCCCTACAAAATAAAAACTGAACAATATTTTTCCTCCCTGTCAATGATCTCAATGTTCTATTAACAGATAAAATTGGCTCATGGCTCAAATCATTTAGGTACTTCTCTACACTTTCCATTTCATTCAATAGTTTCTTTTTGACTACTGAAGACAAACCTGCTTAGCCATGCTTTCAACCTCTCTGTGATCTGCTACTCTACATTTTCAACAGAAACAGGTTTGCCATGAAGTGAATACATCTTGGTTGCATGCCCCTTCTGGCATGGGTCCCTTCTGTGGTCCTAAGGAGGAGCTATAGTTTTGTATTCATATGACTTTATGTTATTTGTAAAATTTGAAAAATTAAAAACTTTTAATGGCAACTGGTTCAGACACTATCTGTAGCCATAGCTACAATTAATTTTGGTTTTCAGCCAAATTGAGATTTTTTTTTGCATAGAGCCTACTTGTTTGATTTTATACAGATAATTATACCCCCACTTCTGTCTAAGATCCAAATCAAAAGTTACACTCTGCTTGAAACCTACCCCTCATGCCCCAAGTTAAAATGAATATGTCTTTCTTAGAAGAACCTCCATAGTAGTTCATTTATAGACTTTATCTAATCTGCAATGTCATGTATTCTCTAAAGAAAATACTCTTATCACAGTTAATTGGTTCATTCTACATAGCACCATAGAGTAACTGTGCTAAGAGTATTTTCTTTAGGGAATACATGACTCAATATGTATTTGCCTAAGAAATCGAAATAGCAAATATATTTTCATAAGTTTGATTTTGCCAACAATCTGAGCTACTTGGAAAATCTTTTCCTAGCTGAACCTCCCAGATGAGAGTGTAGCCAGCTGACTACCTTGATTTGAGCCTTGTGAGATCTTGAGAGAAAACCCAGTTAAAACATACTGAACTCCTGACCAATGGAAACCCTGAGATCTCACAGCTAAGTTTGTAGCAATTTGTTATGTGGCAATAGAAGAATAATGCATCTTATAACACAAAGCAGCCTAATTGGACACAGAAGATTATTCCCTCATCTATAATATACTTGTTTTTCATTTTGGCTTTGGTATCATCAAACTCTTGATTTTCTTCCTACCTCCTTAGTTATTTCTTCTCAACCCACTTGGCTAAATCATCCTTTCCTAATTTCTTTAATATTAAAGTATCCTAGGTTCACTATCTGGTCCTCTTCTCTATATTAACCCACTTTCTTAATAATCACATTCAGTCACACATTTAAAAAAATACTCTATGCACAGCAGTGACTCTCTAAGTTTTATCTCCAGCCTAGACATTTGTTTTAACTCCGGTCTTATATCCAACAACCTCCCCAACACCTCCTAATAGATATCTACAACTCAACAAAAACTGCACTGAGCATCCTTTTACCATAACCTGCTCTACCCACACTCTTTCCTTCCTTGTGGTAGGTTTATTTTCCCAGGTGATTGGATAGAAAACTTCAAAGCCATACTTCACTTTTATCTTCCCCAAGTCTAGTATATCGGCAAATATCATTAGCTCTACATTCAACATATATCTAGACCCTGTATATTTCTAATTACCTCAACTGTGACTCCCTCCCATGGATGCTATATCAGCTTTCTAATGCAATCTCTACTGTTGCCATTGTCTTCTCCATAGTCTATTTTCCAAACAGCACCTAAATTAATCCTTTCAAAAAGGTAGTTGGATTTTGCCATTCCTATGACCAAAACCTTTCAATAGCTCCCAATTTTATCGAAAAGCCAAAGTCCTTACAGTGACACACTGTATCTTATAGGATCTGTTCCTATGATATACATCTATAAGCCCATCATTTTCTGTTCTTCTACTTGTTCACTTTGCCTGGCCATCATGGCCTCCTTGATGTTCTTTATACAAGTCAGGTACACTCTCATCTTAAGGCCCTTGTATGTATATCAGTACAAGGAATCTGGCTTCCTCAGATTGGAATATGCTTTTACCAGAGAGCCAATGGCAAACACTCCCATATATCCTTTAAGTCTTTGCTTAGATGACTTCCTTAATATGGATTGATATTTAGGTTGAACTGGGGAGCCAGGAGGAATTAAATTCCTCCTGAAAGAATAGCATAATTAGGGATGTCACAGAGACAATAAACAGTGGACAAGGAATAACAAAGTAGTACATGAAGGAAGGGGGGACCAGAAAAAAATACAAGATTCTAAGCTATAAGATTTTAAAGAGTGGATAATGGAAAGGATATTCTGAGTCGAATATTGAAGCCATTCTAGCTGGACCATTTCGAGAATGGAATCTGTTGAATTTTATGCTGCAGCAAACTTCCCAGTAGTAGTCTGGAATTCAGCTATCATATCTCTTTATCTTCTAACTTCACAAAAAAGAGAAAATATTAAGTTATTGAAAACTTACAAGTAGGAATAATTGGTGGGCTCTCCAAACAAACTATATGCTAAGCAGGGTACTAAATTTGTTTGTTTTATTTCTATGTGCAGGCTTAAATGTTTTTCTTGGCCCACAAGACGATTCAAGCATCCAGATTTAAGTGGATGGAAATAGGAGCATATAGGAGGAAAGGAAGAAACTGAAGAGAGAAGTAACTAGGGTCTGAAGGGCTCTAACAGACCAGCTCAGCCTCCAGTGGGTGGCACAGCGTCTCTCATAAAGGAACGTAAGTGGAACCATCTAAAGCTGACAGAGGGCATATAAGATGATGGAGTTTTTATTATTTTTGATTGACAAGTCATAATTGCATATATTTATGGGATACAATGTGGTTTTTGATAGATGTATATAATATGGAATGTTTAAATCAAGCTAATTAACATATCCATCAACTCACCCATGATTTTTCGTACTTGAAATTTACTCTTTGCAATTTTGAAATATATGATATATTATTAATAACTGGTCACCCTGTTATGTAATAGATCTCAAAAACTTATTTCTCCTGTCTAACTGAAACTTTGTACACTTTGACCAACATCTCCCCATTAAAATGGTGTTTTTATATGTTCCTATCAGAGTCTAGGATAATGTGATTTTATTATAAAATATGTCTTTTCAGGGCTAGACTTGTGTTCTGAAAAAAAAATTGTTCTGCTCTACTTCATGATCTTGTAGAATATTTCTAAAGGACCTGACCACCAGCACATCTGTCCTTTTGCAGGCTTTCAGATCAGTAGACCAGAATGTAATAAATCCTTCAAGACTAAAGTATGCTGGGTTAATCTATGGCAATGCAGTGTGTCACCATAGAATATAAGTTTACTAACATATTATAGGCCTCTTCTGAGGTTAAGAAAAACTGGATTCCTTCAAGTCATCATCCTGGGGAAGATTTATTCTTGTTGCTGTGGAACTTATATGACTGCACTTTTCTTAGACATAATCATGAACAATCAAATTTAGTTTTATCATGCTTTCATGTTTTCCAGTTTTGAAAGGCTCACATGATGATGGGCCAGTTAATTTCACTTACTTATCTTTTATTACATACTTGAATAAAAAGAGCTTTCATGTGGTATTTGTTTCTTCATTGCTGAGATACTTCACTTAGAATCCTGGTTTCTTTCAGACTAACTTTTTCAAAAGTAAAGCATTTTATTTCAAAGGTTTGAAATAAAAGATAAAAGCCAGTGACCCTTTTTTTTAAAAGTATGGGGTAATGATAAATTTTGATACTGCTAATGAGCCCCATGTTAAGATCTAATGGTTTTAGTCAGAAATTTATTTTCCTTCCAGAGCTGGATTAGATACAGTCTATATATGTTAGACATTTTGATGATGTTGGTTATTAAAAACATAAAGTCAGTAATAAATTAACTATAGAGTAATAAGAATATTTATTTTGGTAGCACCATGCTGTAAGAATTTTTCTCTAGTATGTAAAAGGTCAGTAAAAAATTTCACTATAGATCTTCAACATGCATTAAACATAAACTTAAGATTGAATTTACTGCATTTTGTTTTATTATTTAGATTTCCATGGTAGTCTTAAAAATGGCTTTATTCTAGCATAAAGAAAAAAATATTTACAATCTTTTCCAAAGATACATGTGCAAAATATTTGTATTAAGCAAAAATCATAACATGAAGGATTTATTCAAACTATAGTATTAGTAGTTTAGCATTCACTGAACAGTGGACTTTCATTTTTAACTCTACATCAGCAAACTTGAAACAAAAAACTCAAGAACAAAAGGAACACATAACTCTTCAAAGTCAGAGAACCTTTCAGCAGAGTGTGAGTAGCTTCCCTAGAGATTCTTGCTATGCTGATGCTATGGTGGCAACTTACATGATCTTTTTTCCTTATTTTTTTTTAAGTTTTGAGATAAACATCTATATAAATGATGCATGTTTAATGTTTAAATAACAATAACGCTCATCCATGTTCTCAGCAAAGGATTTTAAAAATAGATTAGTAGCGATGTTTTAAAGCCCCAGGTCCTCTTTCCCAAAGCACCTTCCATTCTCCCAATGTCTATACTGACTTTGCATTCTTCATTCTCTTTCTTTAATTCATACACAATAGCCTTTTATAACAATTGGCAATGTGAGATGTATAATGTCACAAAAGGTATATAACATAATGTTATATAATTTATATAAGTGTGTGTATATAATTGTAAGCAATATACACATGCCATTTACATAAACTAACATATATACACATTATTATAATTACTTATTTATAAGTATGGGAATTTACTTATGAATAAGGACATGAGCTCAGAAAGGTTAAGTAAATTAACCTAATTTTATTTGCATAATATTAAAAGAGGATTAAACCCAATTCTGACATAAAAATCCCATAACACATGTACAGGGGTTATCTTTGCCAAATAAATACTTGATAAAATATTCTATAAATTAATTTATGTTCTTAAATGAATTTCTACATTATTAAACAAACATAGTGTTACATATCTGTGCAAAATCTTTTGTTTATTCAGACTATAAACAATACTTGCTGTGTATCTGGATTTAGGCACCTATTATCGTGAATCCATGGGAAAATGACTCTAGTCTAGAGTCCAGTCAATTCAGTTTTGTGTTTCTCTGACATTAAATGCAGTAGTTAGTTTGCTTTATTTATAAATGATATCAATATCTTGAGAAGACAATCTCTTTATAGTAAACTTAACTGGAATGTCAAATTCATCTTCATATGGGAGATACATCTTTCAAAAAAAAGCCATATGAATGTATAAATCAGAAAGTCCCCCAACTCACCAAGAAAACAGACTATGATTAGATTTCTGCTTAGCACTCTCAGCAAGTCTTTCATTCTGCTCTGGGAAAAAAAACACTAGGACACTCGTGTTTGGGCACTTTCTGTCATGGAATATTTTGTTATAACAGGCAGTTGCAAGACAATGAGGAAAATAAGGATATTTGAACAATTATTCTCATAGTAATTCTAGGCTGACCAGAACTAGAGAAAGTAAGTAGACAGTCTCCATAAAAAAAAAAAAAAATCTATTCTACAAATAAACAAGTAACATATAAGGAATTTATGACCTAGAATATATTTATACATGCAACAATTAGAATCATGCAAAGGTCCCTCATGTTTACTAAAACTAAGACATTTCCTTTATGCTCTATTCTGAATCTAGTATTAATTTTCCTTAGTCCTCGTTGTATTGGCTTCATTGTTACATGTTATTTTGGCAGGACCATTTGTTAGGCCACACTAATTTCAGCCTCTTAACTCTTTGACCCAGCTCATTCACCTATACCTGCTATAAATGGTTTCTATTAAGCTGGAAGCTTCTCCCTAAAGTATCTATGTTTTCTCTACCTGAGGGTATTTTTCAGCACCAGGATACCTTAAAATCACTTTCATGGGCACCCTTACACCCATAGGGTTGTGATGTTAGTGGTTAAATGTCTTTCTTTTTTCACTCCTTCCCCACCATGAGATGATTATTTTGTTTTGTTTTGTTTTATTATCTCATATTCTGTGGGTACAAATATTGTTAGGGTTACATATCCTGCTCCTGTCCCCCCCACCCAGCCATGCAAGAGCTTCAAGCGTGCCCAGCCTCCAAGCGGTGTGCACTGCACCCACCATGTATGTACGTACCCTTCCCCTTTTCCCCCCTTCCACCTGTTCACCTCCCAATAACAGATTTTTTTTAGACATTTTGGTTACAGTGTATATATTTGCCTCTCCCTACATAGGGATAGAGGTAATCCTTTCCCCAATGATTCTAAGGCATGTTCTACATGGCTTTTTACAGACTCCTCAATAGAACTGAGCTCCATCTGTCCTCAGTAATAACCCATTCACTAACACATTCTTTATCATTTTATTTCTCATTTAGGCTTTATATTCCCATATTCCACTATAATGCATTCCAGGAGGTTCTTCCTCTCAATAATCTACCTGTAACCAAATACATATCTTACAGTCTGCTTTTGGGGAAACTCAGATTAAGATATCATTTTTTTATGTGGTTGTCATCATCTCTATCATCTTTATAAGTAACACTGATTAACTACTTCCTACATTCCAAACACAATTCTAAATATTTGAAGCATATTAACATATTTCAATCTTCTCTAAAAATTTTTGGCATAGTTATGATCATCATTTTTAGTTTCAAGACTAGAAAATGAAAACACAAAGCAGTTAAATATCTAGCCTAAGTTCTGACACCATAATTTGCACTAAACCAATATGATATACCTACTTAAGTTTCACTTTCTTTGTGGGAATATATGTGTAGTTTTTTAAAAATGATTTAAAATTATGGCTTTTTTCTTAAATAACATTGATGAATACATTTTCTTCAATCTTCACAGCTAGACTCACTGTGGACTTCACTCAAAGGGACCCAAACAAACATTCCTGCTGAACGTTTGCAACTCTTCAATTTCATGTGTGCACAAGCTCTATAAGACCCAGGGATGACAGGTGTTTCCTAATTTGACCAGTTGAATTTTACATATTACTCTGATAAGCAGATCACTCAAGAAAGGAAGCCTGACTTGAATATATTTATGATATCCCAGAGTTCAAAAATGTGTAATAAAGCACCAGGTAGATCATGATAGGTCACATATGCTTCTCATTTGGAACATTTATTAAAATAGCTCATTTTGAAAAGTAATGCCATGGCAGAAATGAATTATTTTCTATTCTCAGACAAACTTTTGTTTGTCTTCTTGACTTTTGTTTGACTTCTTGAACAGCCTCAGGGATGAGTGCATATTCAATAAGTAATACATAGTTTACCAATGGCTCAGTATGTATGTATATAGGAATATTAAAATTTTACATTAACATTGAGAGGAGCAAGATGGCTGACTAGAGACATCACTTGCCAGATTGTTCCAGAGAGAAGGAAGGGTTTCAGGTAAAGGAGAAGGGAAAGGGTATGCAGCTCAGGTGTAGGTCATACAGAAAAGTGCTGTGGGTCGCACTGAGGAAAATTGCAAAGCAGAGAAAGAAGAGAATAATAATAATAATAATAAAAGACATTGGTGAGGATCAAACCCAGAGAGGCTTGGAGCCCAGTGAAGGAGTAAGTAGGGATTCTTTCTCTCTTCTCTTCTATTCCCTGAGGGAATAGAGCTT